CCCTTCTGCCTTCCCATCCCACTTTTTTCCCTCTACCCCTCCTACAGATTTCTACACCTGATTATGTTATTCCTTCTTTGAGCCAAATCTGATGACAGTAAGGTTCAAACAACGCTCACCTCCCTCCCTACTTCCCCTCTACTGTAATATGTCTTTGCACCATTTCATGTGATGTAATTCACCCTTTTCTGTCTCCTCCTCTCCTCTCCCCGTACAATATTTTTTTCACCCCTTTTTATCATCATCACATCAAAATTAACTTATACCCACACTGTCTACGTATACCCCTTCTAAATGTTGTAATAACGATACAGTTCTCAAGTTTCAAGTATCATCTTCCCATGCAGGGATGTAAACAGTTTACCCTTTATTGAATAATGTTTCCCCCCCCCCCTTCTTTCCTATTTACGTTTTTACGCTTCACTTGAGTCTTGTATTTGAAGACCAAATTTTCTTGTTGGGCTCTGGTCTTTTTGTCAGGAAGGTCCAGAAGTCCCCAATTCACTGAATGTCCATCTCCTCCCCCGAAAGATTATGATCAATTTTGCTGGGTAGTTGACCCTTGGTTATAATCTAAGCGCCTTTGCCTTCTGGAATATCATATTCCAAGCCCTCTCACTGATCCTTTAACGTAGAAGCTGCTAGGTCCTGCATAATCCAGTGTTTTCATTTTTATTTAAATTGTTTCTTTCTGGCTGCTTGCAGTATTTTTTGGAATTTGGCTACAATATTCCTTGGAGTTTTCATTTTGGGATGTCTTTCAGGAGGTGATCAGTGGATTCTTTCAATGACTATTTTACCCTCTCTTCTAAGACCTCAGGTCAGTTTTCCTTAACAATTTCTTAAAAGATGCTGTCCAGGCTTTTTTTTTTTTTTGAATCATGGCTTTCAGGTAGATCATGCAGTACAGCCTCCCTTAAATTATGTGGCCTGGATCTATTTTCCAAGTCAGTTGTTTTTCCAATGAAGTATTTTACATCTTCTATTTTTTCATTCTTTTGATTTTGACTGATTCTTGATGTCTCATATAGTCATTAGTTTCCACTTGCCCATTTCTACTTTTTAACGAATTGTTTTCCTCGATTAGCTTCTGTACCTCCTTGTACCTCCATTTCCATTCGGCCTATTCTACTTTTTAAGGTCTTCTCGTTAGTACCTTTTTATACCTCCTTTTCCATTCAGCCAATTGCATTTTTTAAGGAGCTTTTTTCTTCAATTTTTGTCGTTTTTTCAAACTATTGACTCTCTCTTGCATACTTCTCATTTCTTTTCCCAATTTTTCTTCTGCTTCTCTTATTTGACTATTAAAATCCTTCTTGAGCTCTTCCAAGAAGGCTTTTTTTGGGCTTGGGACCAATTCATATTTCCCTTTAATCAGTTGTAGGTATATTGACAATGTTTTCCTCCTTTGAGTTTGTGTTTTCATCTTCCCTGTCACCATAGTAATTGTCTATGATCAAGGTTCATTTTTCCTTCTTGCTCATTTTTTTGCCTATTTCATGACTTTTAAAGTTGAGTTCTCCTACGGCAGATGAGGCATTGTCCCAAGCTTCTTGTGCCGGGTTTCAAGTGTCTGGTCACTTGCTTTGTGTACTGGGCCCTCAGGTATTGGGGGCAGGAGGGTGTAGGGGTCTAGCAGCTTACCTGGTGCAGAGCTGGGGTCCTACTCGTGGTGCCTGGTGTGTGCTTAGGCCAGGGGGACTTTTCTGTGCTTTCCCTGGGCTACACTGAAGCACAGGGAGGTCTGGCTGCTGGAGGACACCTGCCCACTCAGGGTGCACTGAAGCAAGGTGAGGTTTTGGCTGCTGGAGGATGCCTGCCTGCTTGGAGGTGCACTGAAGCACACGGAGGTTCGGCTACTGGAAGGTGCCTACTCGTCCAGAGGTACACTGAAACATGAGGAGGTCAGCCACTGATGGATGGCTGCCTGCTTGGGGCTGCTCCAACCTGGAGTCTGTCAGTTCCCCTGGCTATGCTAAAGCACGTGGGGGTTCCTGCTGTTGGCAGTTGTCTGCTCCACCATCCTGGCACTCAGGATCTCCTGATGGTTTGCTGAGGTGGATTTGATGCTGGCTTGCTGGGATGCTGTCCGTCCTGGACTGCACTCCTTATTTAATCCAAATAGAAGACCTTTCTTGGAGATCCTCCAAGTTTCCCAGACTAAAAGACTGCTTCTCCCTGTCTTTCCTCTGTCTCCACTGTTTCAGGATTTTTCCTGGGTCACTATTTTTTGGGTTTTTTAGAGGTCAATAAGAGAAAGTGAGAGCAATTTACAGCTTACTCCGCCATCTTGGCTCCAGGAAATCCTCTAATTCTTTAACCCAATTTTAAAGACAGATGGAGTAAAATAAAATTAATTCATAACTTTAAATATGAATGGATGTAACAATAAAATGAAAGAATAACTGACTGGATAAGAAATAAGGCAGCAAGTTTTTTAGTTGAGAGGGTGGGGAAGAAGTTGCCATGGAAAGTTTGAGGAAGGATGAAAAGTTTTGGAGAACTTCTATGGTGAGTGGGATAGTGAATTAATGAGAGAGGTATAAAAAGAAGGCCTAGCAGAAAGGGCCCAGTTGAGGGTTTGTAGCATAAATTTATAGTGAACCCAGTCAGCACAGTTGCTTAATTTTCTCCCCCTTTTAGCAGTACATGCACAGGAGCAAAGGCAGTTCATGGTGGGAATGATCCAAGACTAAGGCTTGGCAGGGCACATAATTGATGATAAGGAGGCAAGGCAATTAAGAGAAGATGGAAATGTCAGTTTGAAGTGATTCACCAAGTAATAAAGATGGAGAAAGGAGAGTATAGATAATGCAGGGTTGATGGCCTAGTAGAGAAATGAGAGATTAAGAAACTGCAAATTACAGTGTAAATCAAGAGCAAGGATTAGTACAAAAGGCAGTAGGAGATTGGAAAGTCAATAGACTACGATAATAAATTATACTTCATGAATATGGAAGTTATGTCAGAAACAAAACTCCAAGCTTCCAAGGAATAGAAAAATATTGCAAACAACCAGAAAGTGAAAGTTAAAGTACCAAGGACCCCAAATTACCGTAAAAGAGTAAAAGTCTTCTCAAACAATATTCCAAAATGTAATAGACAAGGGCTTCCAACTAAAAAATAACTTACCTGTAAAACTGAGTGTAATCTATTATAAGGGAGAAAATGCATTATCAATGGACCAGAGGGACACTCAAATTTTCATAATGCAAAGACAAGTACTAAGCAGAAACTCTGAAATGCAAGCACCAGAGATAAGAGCAACTTATAAAGGTAAATATATTTGAGCATTTAGAAGAGGCTAAATGATGACTAACTGCTTAATACTAATAGGGGGGAAGAGAAAACACACTGATGCCCCTCCAGAATCTGAATGCCTTCAAGGGTAATAGAGAAGCTAAATTAAGACAAACACAGGGACTTTGAATAGTTTTGCTGGTTTTAATGGGGGAAAAAAGATATGGAAAAGAAATTCAATACAGATGAAAAGAGGAAAAAGGATGAGACGCATACTATATCATGTAAATAAACTATGTGAAAAGATTATACAAACATTAATGATAAGGTTGGGGGACCAGGCATCTCACAAACCTTATTCTTTGAAGGAAGATCAAATACATATACATACATAAAAAGTTTGGTGTGGAACTACATTAGAAATTAGAAAGAAATAAAAAACATTTATTAAGCCAGGCACTGTGCAAAATGCTTTCTGAATATCTCATCTGGTTATTAAACTCAATAGAGATAAAGGAGGATGGAAAGCACAGTGACGTATAAAAAGGAGACTAGAACTGGTTCCTCCAGCCAAAAGCAAAACAAACTTGAAGGGTGAGGAAAAGCAGAGATAAGAGAACAGTTTACTTCAATTAGTAATTATCAAATATCTTCTTTATTCTCAACCTTCTTTTTCTTTGTCAAGAAAGATGCTGGGAAGGAAAAGGATAAAGTATAAGAGGATATAATAGAGGGAAATACAAAACTAACAGTCATAATAATAAATGTAAATTGGATAAAAAGGAAATAAATAAAAAGGAATTGGTTATACAAACTAGTACCTAACAATATGGTATTTAAATACACACAATCACACAAAAATGAAACATAAAGATTCACATAAAGTTAAAATAAGGAACTTGGTCAGAATTATTCCAAATTCATTTTTAAAAAAATAAAGGTAGCAATTATATCAGACAAGGCAATAGGAAAAAGTGATATGGTGATGAGATAAGCACGGAAACTATATAATACTTAAAAGCACTACAGATGACATGTAAGAAAAAAAGGACCACATACTAGGGCATAAAAACATCTTGATACTAGTTAAGAAAGAGAATGTAGTTAGTGATAACAAATTATGTACAAAAGTAAACATGCATAGTTGTTATTATTTGGTCAGCCCAAAGATCTCAACCATTGAAGTAAAAACTCAGTATTTGACAAAAGTTGCTGGGTAAAATGGAAGAAACTAGGGAATCACAAGGAGAGCAAAGAAAGGGGAAAAAGACACATGTAGAAAAACAGTTATAACAGCTTTTTTGTGGTGACAAAGAATTGGAAGTTGGGGGTACTCACCAATTCAGGAATAACTGAACAAATTATAGTATATGAATATGATGGAGCATTATAACACTGTAAGAAATGATAAAGAGAATGGCTTGAGAGAAATCTATGGAAACTTGTATGAATTGATAGAGTGAAGTGAGAAGCACTAGGAAAACAATTTATACAGTAACAACAACACTATCAAAAGAAACAATTTTGAAAGCTTCAGGGAACTGATAAACATAAAGACCAGCCACAGTTCCAGAGGTATCATGATGGCACATGGTATATACCTCTGGATAAAGAGGTGACAGACTCAGAATCTATCTCAGAGTCCAGATTTTGACATAGCCAATTAGGGAATTTGTCTTGCTTGACTATACAAGTTTATAAAACGGGTTTTGTTTTAACTTGTTTTGTGAGTGGAGGGTGGGAAGAATAGATAGCAAATCTTCGTAAAAATGAAATAAAATTTAATTTAAAAATATTAAGATGATGCAGTTGACATAAAATTATCTGGAAAATATAAAAATATCAGAGAGAGAACATAGCTTTCAAAAATCATGGTCTCCTCTGAGGTTGTTTTCTTAGCTGGGACAGGATCAAAAAAAAAAAAGCTATTCTCTTTCCATAGCAATCATTATGATTCTATCCACTACAATGGAAAGACAACTATAACCAACTATCTTACACCTTCCACAGGGCATCAATCATTAAAAACAAAATGGTTTAGGAAGAAAAAGAAAATTATTATCCAAAATGGGATGTTTCTTAATTAAGAAACAAAACAATCCCCTCCCCAAGAAAGTGATACATTGAAATGCATTCAAGTATTCCTTTGAACACTTCTTACAAATACAAATCAATTAGCTTTATTTTGTTTTACTATACAAGTAAAAAGTAGTTTCATTTTTTGTTAGTAAAATGTTTAGAAAAATTTATAGACTGTTGTTTAGTAATTTTTAATACAGTGTCTTATCAAATGTTAGGTCATTCTTGAAATTCAGAAGGCTTTAGTTTGAGAATATTCATTATTTTAAAAGAAAATCTTTTAAAGAATATTAAATAAAAAGTAGCCTCATGTCAACAGTATCTAGAAGGATACAAAAGGAAGATTGTTTTTGAAAGAGATCTAAGGTATTTTTCTCAGGTAAGTTTCAGTCTTCCCTGTATCTTTATTTTCCTTTCAAGTCACATTTTTTAGGTTGCAACTCTCCAAATTATGAATATAAATTACATATATATGTGTATGTATATATGTATGTATATACGATTCTCCAGTCATGTGAAGTAATTACTTTTATAATAAATTAAGATATTAAAAAAATGGAATGTTGCTTTTTTCAAAAAACTTGGAAATGTTATTTAAAAAAACTCTATAACAATATATATTAAGCTTGGCAAAAATTAATTAGGAACTTTCTTTAATGAAGACAAAATACATCAAAATTACTAAATGTAAAATACTTTTTCCAATATGAGTAGCAAACCTTGGGTTTGGGTTGGTTTTTTTTGCTAGTTACTATCAAATACTAATTTTAAAATACTTAGATGTTAAAAATATTTTCTGAATAGCTTAAAATTTTAAATGTTGTTTGCCCCAGAGTAGTTCAGATACCAAATTATCAGCAATTTTTATTTTTCTGTCAAAAGTAATTTAAATGAAAATCATAGTAGTAATGACACAAGATTCAAATAGGTCTGCTTGAGTGATTTCAATTATCAAAAGACAATGCTAAAATTTTATGCATATTTTAATACTTTCATTTGCACAAAGTTAATTTCCTTTTTAAAGGAAATTTATAAAAATAGCTTGTTAGTTCCTGAATTATCTCAAATTCAAAACATTGTTTTTCTCTGAGAACAGTTTAAATCCCAAATAATATGAAAAATGTTTACTTTCACCTCAGAAAGATCACAGGATCATAGACTAAGAAAATAGATCTTTAGGTCACAGGAAATGAAATAAATTTAATCTTGAGTAATCAAGTTAAAATATAATTTGGAATGTAAGAAAATGTGTAATTAAAGAAATGTATAAAAAATATCTTTTGCAGAAGGGAGTTTTTAACTATAGAAAATAACCCAAAAAAGCCATTGATTGCTGACTTTAGGTGAAATTAAGACATTATAATAATAGAATTTATGATCACTAAGTTTCTATTATTAATTGTTACCATGTATAGGAAGTAGTATTATTAAAATCAGTCATTTTTATTAACAATATTAATATAGGGGAGACATTTGGCCTACATCACTACAAAAGATAAAAGTTTACTGTGAAATATATTTTCTTTACAAGACACTAAGAAAAATTCTCACTTACAGTGAAGAGTTTTCCTTAATTTTTTCCAAAAGTGAAACTAAGAAGTTTTACAAATGTTTTCTCTAGAACTGATTAGTATAAATTCTTTAAATTCCCCTAAAGGGTAAACAAGTTATAATTAAAGAAAGAAAGATATCTATCTTATTGTTTGACACCAGGTTCTTCTATTTTAAGGAACTGGTTGAGTCACCAGACTGTTTTCAAAGCCTCTTTCAGGATTCCATTCCAGACACTAAAAGTATTTTTTAAAAGTAAACTGCTGAATTTATTGAAAAGATATCTAACTGCCACAATGTACAAGTCAGTTTTTTCAAGCCAAAACATTAGATTATCATTTATCATTCTTTATATTTTTGTCAAAATAATAACTTTTACATTAACTAATCACTAAGACTTATCCACTACTGAAAGAGGACTGACAATGCGTTGTCTCATTGCAGTCTGTGAAAAGCCTTTTTTAGATGGATTTTTGTTCTCCGATTCATCATCTGAATGATCCTCTTCATCTTCCTCTTGTTTTTGTTCCAATTTTTTCAAAAGATGGGAAGATTCTGGTGGTAGTTTTTCTTAAAGAAAAAAAAGGACATACATAATTAGTTTATGAAGTCTTATGAAGTTTAAGAAATTTTACTGAACAATTTAGAGATCTACAAAGTAAAATAAAAATTTATAAGCAATTATATTGCTTCAATTCTTATTTATGAAGAGCTTAGACTTCCAACAACAATTAGTTATTATAAACTCTTTAGACGTTTATTTATGCACAGTGTAAGATAGAATAGCAGATAGTATAAGAAGGAAGAAGTAAAATAAGATTCTCGTTTTCATGGTATACTGGAAAAACTGGTGCATTCTAGAACACTGCTTTGTAAAGTATAATATTCCAAGTAGTCATTCAGTTTCTCCTTAAAGGCATTCAGAAATAGAGAACGCCTTATCCACCACAGTGTTAGGATAACAAGCACAGTCAGAATTGTAACAAAATTTTCTTGACATTGCAGGCTAAAAAATAAACCCACATAAATCACTGGCATTTCTATATACTACCAACAAAGTCCAACAGCAAGACATAGAAAGAGAAATTCCATTTAAAGTTACTGTAGACATAAAATATTTAGGAGTCTACCTACCGAAATCAACCCAGGAACTATATGAATACAACTACAAAACACTTTTCACACAAATAAAGTCAGATCTAAATAACTGGAAAAATATCAGTTGCTCATGGGTAGGCTGAGCTAATACAATAAAAATGACAATTCTACCTAAGCTAATTTACTTATTAAGTACCACACCAATGAAACTACCAAAATATTATTTTATAGAGTTAGAAAAAATAAGATTTATTGGGAAGAACAAAAGGTCCAGAATATGAAGAGAACTAATGAAAAGAAAATCAAGGTGGCCTAGCTGTTCCAGGTCTTAAATTGCATTATAAAGCAGCCATCATGAAAACTGCTCAGTATTGGCTAAGAAATAGAGTGATCAATCTTGCATAGGTTAAGTACGCAAGACACAGTAGTCAATGACATAGTAATCTATTATTTGATAAATCCAAAGACTCCAGCTTCTGGGATAAGAATTCACTCTGTGACAAAAACTGCTGGGAAAACTGGAAAAGAATATGGCAGAAACTAGGCATAGACCACAATCTCACACCATATACCAAACAAAAGTCAAAATGCGTTCATGATTTAGATATAAAGGCTGATACTATAAGTAAACTGGGAGAGCAAGGAATAGTTTACCTGTCACATTTATGGAGAACAGAAGAATTCATGACCAAACAGGAGATAGAGAACATTACAAAATGCAAAATGGATAACTTTGATTACATTAAATTGAAAAGGTTTTGCATAAACAAAGCCAACGCAACCAAGATTAGAAGGAAAGTAGAAAACTGGGAAAGAATTTTTACAACCAGTCTCTCTGATGAAGGCCTCATCTCTAAAATATATAGAGAATTAAGTCAAATTTATAAGAATATAAGTCATTCCTCAATTGATAAATTTGGTCAAAGGATATGGAGAAGCAGTTTTCAGAGGAAGAAATTAAAGTTATCTTTAGTCATATGAAAAAATGTTCCAAATCACTACTGCTTAGAGAAATGCAAATCAAAACAACTCTGAGGCACCACATCACACCTATCAGGTTGGATAACATGATAAAACAAGACAAAGATAAATGTTGGAGATGTTGGAAAACTGGAACACTAAAATGCACTGTTGGTAGAGTTGTGAACTGATCCAACCATTTTGGAGAGCAATTTGGAACTATGCCCAAAGGGCTATAAAAACGTGCATACCCTTTGACCCAGCAATAGCACTTCTAGGGCTATATCCCAAAGAGGTCATACAAATGGGAAAAGGACCCACATGTACAAAAATATTTATAGCAGCTCTTTTCTCTTTTTGTGGTGACAAAAAATTGGAAATTGAGAGGATGCCCATCAGTTGGGGAATGGCTGAACAAGTTGTGGTATATAAATGAAATGGAATATTATTGTGCTATAAGAAATGATGGACAGGCAGACTTCAGAAAAACCTAGAAAGACTTGCATGCCAGGAGAACATTGTACACAGTAACAGCCATGTTGTGTGATGACTAATATTGATAAGTCTTAACCCTTGTCAGCAATATAAGGATCTAAGACATCTCCAAAGGCCTCATGATGGAAAATGCTATCCACATCCAAAGAAAGAATTATGGAGTTTGAACGCAGATCAGAGCATACTAATTTGCTTTTTTTTTCTTCTGCTGTGTTTTGTTTCCTCTTTCTGGTGGTTCCTATTCTTCGTTACAACATCACTAACGTGAAAATATGTTTAAAAGGAATGTATATGTATAGCCTATGTCAGATTGCATGCCATCTTGGAGAGGGAGGGGGAGAAAAATTTAAATTTCAAAAGCTTATGGAAGTGATTGTTGATAAATCAAAATAAATTAAAAAAAATTTTTTTCTTGAACACAGTCAATTCCACATTTTAAGAAGTGTAAATCGTAAGGAAGTTTCTGCTTATGACTTGAGTTGAAATCTTCTTCCTTGTAACTTTTATCTCTTAAACCTAATTCTGCTTTCCAAGATAAAGGAGAAGTTTAAATCCCTCTTTCACATGATAATCTTTCAAATATCTGAAACAACTATCACATCAACCTTATTCTTCTTCAAATTAATTAATTACAGTTCCTTTACCCAATCCTAATATGACATGTTGACTTGTGTGCCCCCTGGACTCAGTACAGTTTGTCAATGACTGATTAAAAATGTTGAATCCGGAACTATTAATTATATCTGTCTTATATTACTTAATAGTTCTGGATTCAACATTTTTGATCTGAGTTCTGAGTCATCATCTCCAAGGGAAAAAAGGAATCGATCAGTTGGAGGATGAGTTCCTTTTCCAGATCCCTAATAAAGTCTTAAAGAGAAATATTCTCTGAGTGGAGGGGCCAGCATGGCCCTTAGTATGTGGTCCTATTTACTGAGCCTATTTGCCCTTCCTCTCCTCTTCCAAGCAAATGAAAATGATTGTGAGTGATTATAATAAACTAGTCTTAGAAAAAAGACTACTTGTTATCTGAAAAGCAGGGAAACAGTGAAGGAGGAAGGGAAGGAGGGAATAATGGGAGGGCAAGTGAAATTAGGATCTCTTGACACTAACAATTTAGTCTTACCAACAGGTCTTTCAGGTTTTGAGGGGATAAGTCACCTTGGATATTCTCATTCTTTGGAGGCAAACAATATATTGTTTTAATAGATACTTGGGTCTATATGGTTCTTTAGCTTCTGAGCTACTTCTAGTAAAGTTCTATAAGCTAAGAAAAAGACAATGGCTGAAGAGGAGATTTTTGGTAAGATTCCTTTGGGGAAATAAGCATACTTCCCCCTTTGTTATGCTAGATTTCAGAACAAATATTTTCACTCTAGGATTCTGCAATACCTTAGCATGTCTGTTAATTAATAAGACATCACAAAACACTCAAAAAGTTTAAATTAATCTAAAAATATACTTACTTGAATAAGGATACTGCAGTGGTTTATTCGTTTTTGAAGGACAAAGGAAGTCTGCCACAAATACCATAATCTGTAACCAGAAAAAATGAGAGAAATTAGAGCATCTAGTTATAGATAACTCAAATTTTATCTCATAAAAGTTCTATAAATTCATATTCCCAACAATCTGAGAAAAGGTATACTCACAAGTCCTAGTATTAGGCCTGAGAACAGAGTTGCTAAGGCAAAAATTGCATAGGATCCCCAAACTGGTATTTTAAGGTCTTCTGTAAAATAGTTATGGCAAGTCTAAATTTTTAAAGAGAATAAAGAGTAAACTAAGAAACCGGTCATTTCAACAGAGTAGCAAATTGTTTAAAACTGAAAGAAGATTTAAGCCCATACCCTAATCCACATAGACAGCTGAAAAAGAGCTGACATGCTGCTCATCCTAAAATAAGAGATATATAATTAGAAAACATGACAAGATTGGTGGGTCTACTGAATTTATACTGAAACAACTGCCTGTAGATGGAACTGCAGTTATTGACAAAGTGTTACTATCTGATTTCTCCATACCCTGAACAGATAGCTATTGATTTCTTTGACCATATCTTCCTTCTCCTAAGTATAAAAATTTATTTCCTTTGTAGGTTGCTCCTTTGAGTCATTTTTTGCATATTTTTAATATCAGACAAATGTGTGTGTATTTCTAAGTAAGAATCCATCAAAGTTTATACATTTTTTTCTCTCCCCCAACCCCAGAGAATTGAAGATTTGAAAAATGTAGTTTTCTCTATTCTTAATGATATTGTTTTCACAATAGTAAATCACAATAATGTCGGTAGCAGATTCACAGGACATTCAATGAGCCTCCATACTCAGACCAAAATATATCCCCAGAGTAGTCCATGTTTCAAAATGACTTTAAGCTACTCCCTATCTCCCTCCCTCCAAATTTTTTACTTCTTTAGTGAAAAGCAATCTGATTGTTCTATATCATGGCATCATAATGAAAATACACTTTACAATTTTTTAAATTATGCTGTACACTCACTCCTTCCTACTTTGGTTTATCACCTAGTTCTTAAAGGCTTTTTTTTTTTGCTGCTCCTAAAAGCAAAATCAAGTCACTTTTAGAGAATGCCCCTTTCCTTTCTATTTTATCAACTCATCTGTCCAAGTCCTATATGCGGTAGGAGCACAAACTGGAAAAACTTTAGAAATCTGAGATTTAAACTAAAATTTAATATTTTTTTCATATACACAGTAAATTTTTTTCCAAGTCATTACTTTACAATATTCAGAATGTCACTAATACTTTAAAATCTAGAAGGGAGGAGTAAAAATCCAAAAATGCTTACAGAAAAGAACCTGGCCCAAACCATGAAGAAATAGGTTCAATATTTTTCCACTCTTTGTCATTTATGAAACTTATAAAGTCCTTTTTAGTCCTGGGGCCTTGATATCTTCTAAATTCTCCGTCTCTACAGCTATGTAAAAAAATAAAAAGAATATCAGACTCCAAATCATAAATTACAGCTGTCATATATACAGAAAGTAATGTCTCAATTAATGAGCTAAAATTATACTTGCTTCTATATTTACATTGTTGTTCATTTAATATTAACATTCAAAGTTATTAGTAATACATAAATATCACAATTGATCATTTTCACATTCATGAAATTCTAGTCTGAAATGTAAATGAGGAACAATATAACTTTCTTCTTAAGTCATACACTTCAATACCATTACCATTAATTTACTTTAGTCAATAAAATTATGGACATCTGCCACAAGGAAAAAAATCATGAAGTCTTGCCATGCTTCAATGTATTAGTATTATGCATCATGGGAACAAAATACTGAGGTATCAAATTTATAGAAAATTAAAATTAAGTAATGCATGAAGAAATTTATGAAAAATTTAGTAGGCCTTTAAATGAATAAGCTAGTAGCTGATAATCAAAATAAAGTCAGAGGATATTCTGGGAAGATGGCAGAATAGGTCAGAAATTTCTAGGCTTTCCAGATTTTCTCCACAAACAGACAGAAAACAGCCAATAAATGAATGCAAAGCAGCAGTTGTCTGCCTAAGACAACTTGAAAGGACCTCAGAAAAGACAGGGCCCCCAGGGGCTGAGGTTTGGCCTGAGTGAAATACAGATAACTACAGGCTGACTCCACTGAATGAACAAACAGAAGGCCCTGGAGCATCTCTGTCAGGAAGCAGACTAAGAAGGCCTCAAGAAATTTCACCTCATGAAAAGAAATACCAGGGGAGGTGGCCTAGATGTACCAGATCTTAAATTTTATTATAAAACAGCAATAACCAAAACTACTCGGTAGCGGCTAAGAAAGAGAATGGTGGATCAGTAGAATAGGTTGGGTATGCAAGGCACAGTAGTCAATGACTATAGTAATCTAGTGTTTGATAAAAAACCCAAAGCTTCTGGGGTAAGAACTCACTATTTGGCAAAAACTGTTGGGAAAACTGGAAAATACTGTGGCAGAAACTAGGCACAGACCAACATCTAACACTGTATACCAAAATAAAGTCAAAATGGGTTCATGATTTAGATATAAAGGCTGATACTATAAGTAAACTGGGAGATCAAGGAATAGTTTACCTGTCAGATTTATGGAGAAGAGAAGAATTTATGATCAAATAAGACATAGGGAACATTACAAAATGCAAAATGGGTAAGTAATTTTGATTACATTAAATTGAAAAGGTTTTGCACAAAGCCAAAGCAATGAAGATTAGGAGGGAAGCAGAAAACTAGGAAACAATTATTTAAACCAGTGTCTCTAATGAAAACCTCATTTCTAAAATATATGTAGATCTCATTTGAATTTATAAGAATATAAGTCATTCCTCAATTGATAAATTTGGTCAAAGGATATGGCGAAGCAGTTTTCAGAGGAAGAAATTAAAGTTATCTTTAGTCATATGAAAAAATGTTCCAAATCACTATTGCTTAGAGAAATGCAAATCAAAACAACTCTGAGGCACCACATCACACCTATCAGGTTGGATAACATGATAAAACAAGACAAAGATAAATGTTGGAGATGTTGGAAAACTGGAACACTAAAATGCACTGTTGGTAGAGTTGTGAACTGATCCAACCATTTTGGAGAGCAATTTGGAACTAATGCCCAAAAGACCATAAAAATGTGCATACCCTTTGACCCAGCAATACCACTTCTAGGGCTGTATCCCAAAGAGATCATACAAATGGGAAAAGGACCCACACGTATAAAAATATTTATAGCAGCCCTTTCTGTGGTGACAAAGAATTGGAAATTGAAGGAATGCCCATCAATTGGGGAATGGCTGAACAAGTTGTGGTATATGAAGTAATGGAATATTATTGTGGTATAAGAAATGATGAGCAGGCAGACTTCAGAAAAATCTGAAAAGACTCATATGAACTGATGCTGAGTGAAGTGAGCAGAACTAGGAGAACGTTGTACACAGCAATAGACATACTGTGAGATGACTTTGACAGACTTGGCTCTTCTCAGCAATGCAAGGATGTAAGTCAACTCCAAAAGACTCATGACAGAAAATGCTATCCACATCCAGAAAAAGAACTATGGAGTCTGAATGCAGATGAAAACATACTATTTGCTCTTCTTCTTCTTTGTTGTTTTGTTTCATTGCATCATACTCGTGGTTTCTCCCATTGGTTCTAATTGTTCTTTACATCATGACTAATGGGAAAATATGCTTAATATAAATGTATAAGTAGAGCCTATATCAGATGGCATGTGGTCTTGGAGGAGGTGGAGGAGAGGGAGGAGAAAATTTAAAACTCAAAATCTTATGGAAGTGAATGTTGAAAACTAAAAATAAATTAAAAGAAAATTCACTTCAACTTTTACCTCACTCACTACCTCAAAAAATTTCACCTCATGAACTCTTTTTTACTTCACAGCCTCAGGCACTTTCACCTCATAAACTTTTTTACCTCACAAACTTTCATCTAAGGATCAGCAGATGGATGAGTAACAGAAGACTGAAGGACCCCTGCTGTTCCAAAGGCCAGACCTAGCAGTGCTGACTGGAAGTGATCCCAGGCTGTGGCTGTGGGCAAGGAGGGGCGAGCACATGTTCTGTGAGTGGGGTACCACATGGAGCAAGAACATTTTTGGAACAGTGTGGCTGAGGCCCTAACAATGATTTACGGGAGGAGAGGAGTCACTGAGGTTGAGTTCCTGGAATGAATGCAGAAGATAACAGTAAAGGAGGACCTGAGGCCTAGGGTAACATTACCCACAACTCAAAATAAAACAAAATAAAAACGATTATGCAAAGGAAAAAGAACCCAACCACAGACAGCTGCTTTGGTGTAAAAGAATATCTTGGTTCATATTCAAAGGAAGATAGTATAGCTAAAAAAAAAAACCCAAAACACTCCTATCCCAAAGAGTAACATCAAATGGTCAAAAAACCAAAAGGAGCTCTTGCAAGAACTCCAAAAGAAATTAAAAAATCAAATTAGAGAGACTGAGGAAAAATTAGAAAAAAAAAATAAAAGCTATCCAAGAAAATTATGAAAAGAAAGTTAAAAAAGACAAAAAAGAGGTCCAAAATCTTCAGGAAGAAAATACTCCTTGAAAACCAAAATTAGGCAAGAGGAATCGAATGACATTGTAAGACACCAAGAAATAATAAAACAAGAAAAAACACAGAAGGGAATCTGAAACACCTCATTAGAAAAACAACTGATTTGCAACACAGATCAAGGAGAAACAACATAAGAATTATTGGACTACCTGAAAATTATGATCAAAAAAATAATCTGCATACAATAGTATAAGAAAGTATTAAGGAAAACTGACCTGAAACTCTAGAAAAAGAGAGTAAATTAGAAATAGAAAATCAAAGGAGAGATTAATAAAATTGAAAGTTAAAAAAAAATTTTCAATAAACAAAACTAGAAGCTGGTTTTATGAAAAAAATAGTAAGATAAATTAGCCACTGGTTAATTTGATTTTAAAAAAGAAGAAAACCAAATTACCAGTAGGTTTCAAGACAGAACTACACTTTACTGAAATAAGACTCTTATATTTTCTCTATTATTACATGTGCTAAGAACTAATTTCAAAGATATAAATTTCACTGTCGCATTCTTCTTTCTTTTTAGGCAACTGGGGTTAAGTGACTTGCCCAGGGTCACACAGGTAGTAAGTGTCAAGTGTTTGGTCTGAGGCTAGATTTGAACTCAGGTCTTCCTGACTTCAGGGCCAGTGCTCTATCCACTGTGCCGCCTAGCTGCCCCTAAATTTCATTGTGATCTAGTGGATAGAGAGATAGCCTTAGAGTCAGGAAGAATTATATTCAAACCTCTTATACATATCAGTTCTATTAACACAGCAAAGTAACTTAACCTTTCAGTGATCCAGGAAACTAAGACTATACTGGAAGAAGTAATACAAATACTGACTTGCTGTGACAGTGAGATTCCATACTTGGAGTTCCCTACACCAATGAAATCATAAGCCGAATCAAAACAAAACAAAATCCCACCTTCAAATACTTACTGGTAGATAGTGGGAAGTGCAGTTATGATAAACCGACCACTAAGACCTGTAAATAAATATTAAGGTTGATAAATACAATAAAAAAAATTCTGGCAGAGATAGATTGATAGGTTTCCCCAGGCTAAATATATATATATATATAGATATAGATATAGATATAGATATATAGATATAGATATCTATATATCTATATATCTATATCTATATCTATATATATATCTATATCTATATATATATCTCACTTTTAACTTGCAAATACTTCTCTTAAATTTTAAAGAATTTTTTATATGTTACATTACCTATATTTCCAATTATGTCCTTCCCCTTCCTTTGAAAAGAATTAAACAATTAAACAAGGCTGATCAACAAACTGAGAAAGTCTCACAGTATATGCAGCATTCCATTCCCATAGCTCCTCACCTTTGCAAAGAATGAGATGTCTTCTCACAGCTCTTCACAATATGAGCTCATAAATCCTAGTCATGGTCATTATAATTTTAGTATATTCAATTTTGATTATTTTTGTTGTTCTTTCATTTTATGTTGTAGCAACTGTTTTCTTAAATCTGCTTACTCCACTTTGAATTAATTCATATATGCTTCTCTTTATTCATCCTATTCATTGTTTCTTAAAGCAAAGTGATATTCCATCATATTCATGTACCACAATTAGTTTATCCACTTCCCAAATGACAGGTATCTTGTTTTAAATTCTTTGCTACTACAAAAAGTTAACACTACAAATATTTTATATGGAACCTTTCTTTTTATCACTCTACTTCCTTGAGATATATATGCCTAGCAGTAGGATCTTTGGATCAAGTGACATTGACATTTAAGACACTTTCTTTGCTTAATTCCAAACTCCTTTCCAGAAGGTTGGACTAAATCAGTTCCATCTGGAGTGCATTAATGTTTTTTATTTCCATAGGCCTTCCAACATTGACTTGTTGTTCAGTTGTTCTCAGTCATATCTGACTCTTTGTGATCCCACCTGGCGTTTTCTTGGCAAAGATACTAGAGTGGTTTGTCATGTCTTCTCCAGATCATTTTACAGATGAGGAAACTGAGGCTAACAGAGTTAAGTGACTTGCTAAGGGCCACACAGCCATAAGTGTCTGAGTCCAGATTTGAACTCAGGAAGATGTGTCTTCCTGACTCCTGACTCCGGGCCTAGCACTCTATCCACTGTATCACACTGCCCTAACATTTCTACTCCTATCGATAATTTTCTTTTTTTAATTATCTTTATGAAATCAGTGGGTATAATGACAAATTCTACTAAAAGCAGAAATTATTTCATTCCATCCTGTCTTTTACACAAGATTGCCTTCTCTATCTTCCCTACTCTCACCAATTTCAGTCACTCCCCATTTACTGGCTGCCTCCTTACTGCCAGCAAACATACCTACAGCTCCTCTATCATCCAAAAAACCCAAAACAAAACAAAATTTTAAAAGCCCTCACTTGATCATCCCCCACTAGTTACCTTCCTATATCTTTCCTCTTTGTTGCGCCTAAATTCCTTAAGAAGACAGTCTATAATAAGATGGCAGAATAAGCAAAAAAAAAAAATCGCTGTTATCTCTCCCATATTAACCTCCAAATAACCAAACAACTGTAAAACAGCGCCCCAGACAAATCCTAGAACAACAGAGCCAGCAAAAAGACAGGGTGGAGCAGTCTTTTAGCCCAGGAGACTTGGAGGATCCGCAAAAAAAGTCCATCTCACTTGGGTGAAAGGGGAGTGGAGTCCAGGACAGGAAGTGTCTCAGTAAACCAGCAGCAAGCCCCACCTCAGCAAACCAGCAGGAAAGCCTCAGCCCCAGGGTAGTGAAACAGGCAAATGCCAACACCAGTAGCCCCACGTGCCTTAGCACAGCCAGGAGAACTGGAAGACTCCAGCTCCAAGAACTACCTTGTGCTTCAGCACAGCCCAGGCCAAACAGGCCTCCATGTGCTTTAGTGTAGCCCCAAGGAAATGCAGGACTCCTACCTCAACACCAGGTAAGCTCCCAGACCCCTACAGTCTCCAGCAGCACCAGCCAACCTACACCCCATCCCCACAGCACAGCACCAGACACAAGGGTCCCTGTGGGCCTCAGAACAACATCAGTATAGCACCAAGTAAATAGCTAGAGCCTGCAGCCACTAGCACAAGATGCAAAAAAATAAAATGCTAGCCTTATTAATAAAATGATTAAATTACCCAGAAACTATGTCTCTCAAATTGTCACACTTTACTATAATGGTCTCCTTTACAAAGGCCAATACCATCTCATCTCTGGGTTCTATGTATCCTTCCTCTGCCCCCAAAATCATGATTGGTGCTATTTGCCCTAAGAGATCATATATTCCTTCTCCTTGGTCAGGATGCTGCCCATGAAGAAAGGTGACCTTTCAATATACTAGCTCTTCTCAGATTAAAGTAATCACGAGGTTCTCATCTTCCAAAACATTCATACATCTCTTAGTCCACGGGTCCTTTAGTCTTTTTTTTTTTTGAAGCAGGTCTTTCAATATAAGACACACCCTCAGACCTGGGACCCTTCTCCCATTATTCTTGAATCCTTCCTCTCTTCCTAAGAGACTATAGCAATCCTCATCCTTTCTCTATTCTCTTATGGATTTGGTAGGGATGCATCACACATTTCCCTATTCTCCATCTCTCCTTTCCCCATTTATGCACCCTCCTATTCTGTGATTCTATACTACAAAATATACTGATTCCTGAAGGGACCTCAATCAATTAATAATCATTTATAAAGTAGTTACTATGTGCCAAGCACACAGAAAAAACAAAAAGAGCACAGTACTTCAGTTCTGCTCTTCCATCTTCACTTGTTTATTCCACTTATGTACTGAATCCTCATACCCCTTTTTTATTCCTTGATGAACAATCTTTTTCTCTTAATTAAAAAAAGAAAAACACTTCTAAGCATGGAGTGATTGAGTTTATCATTTACTCTTTGCTTACAGAGTTTCATTTACCTTTTAAAGGTTTATACTGTTTGGGGTACTCAGAAATCTAACAGTGTGCTTACATTTTTTTTTTCTTTCCAGGAATGCCTGGAATTTCTTCTCCTGTTGAATATCCTTTTTTCATTAATTATTAGCCTCAGGTCTGCAGGACATATGGCATTCTGAGATGCAGCTTGAGCTCCTTTTTTTGGGGAATGTATTATCCTATTCTCCTGAAATTTCTCATGACTATGAAATAATCTTGTATTAAAAACTCCTTGCTTTCCTGTTTGAAAGTCTTCCTCTTGGTGATCTGCAAAAAACGTTATCATCAAAATAATTAGATTTAGTGACTATATCTTGGGTTTAAAGTGTACATGTGAGTGTACATATATGGTTGTGCTTTCTCAAGGCAACCTGTGAATTCTCTAGACTGATGCTTTGCTGTCTGTATTCAGAAGTTATGGGTAGTTTTCTTGTATTATTTCCTGCTCTGTAATAGTCAGGTTGATTTGTCTGTCACATTCTTCTTGGAGAGATATGATCCCTATTTTTTCTCTGTACATCTTGTTTTCAAGATCAATAGCTATGGCTTTCATGGAATTCAAATTAAGTGCTCTTTTAACATGGTTACCTTTTGCTTCGCTTCTGCTAGATTATCCATTTCAGTATTTTTGGGTTCCAAATTTGTTAATTTGTCTTTCCTCACTTATTCTATAACATGAACTGAAATGTTTTCTAATCTGTTAAGTTTCTTTCATTCTGAATTGAGAGCTCTAAGCTCGGACCAACATTCATCTTCAATTTCTTATTTTATATAATAGTTCATTTCTCTTTTGAACCACTATGATATTTCTTCTCTCTTCTGTATACTCTGTTGAGAACCCACAGGATTCTGCATTTCATCTGATACTTGGTTCACTTTTCTTTATATATGTGTTAAGAATATTTTGTATTTTCTAAGGTTTACTACTTATTCTTCCTGTTCTTTGGGGCTCCAATTGTTGATTTATCTCTCTGCCTATGCTCTGGTCTTTGATTGAAATTTTTCTGTTGGAATCTTTAGTGTTTTAGTCTTTTTCTTTCTGGTACCCCTCCTCACATTATTATGTCTACCCTTTGCTGGTGGGTACAGTCCCAAAGCTAGGCTGCAATGCTGGCTCAGCCTCCTATTAGAGGATATAAGGTTTGCAGGACTGGTCCCTGTGTAGAGTATCCTCTGAGGAGAGAGGATTGGACCCTGCCCTGAATCCTCCTTCAGCTTCTATTCTTCTTGCTAGATTGTATGGCACTTGATGCTTTGGGAGCACAGGAGGAGAGCGTTTCAGGCACAGTCTCAAGTTTCTAGTCAAAAGACATTCCTTTCCATTTCAGCTCCATGTGGCAAGGGGAAGTCAGTGTCTCCTTTAAGGGTGTAGGGAGAGGAGGTGTGTTTTGGAAAAGTCTCTACAACAGTACAGAGAAGAATTCCAAGATGAATTCCTGCACAAATTTGCATGTTAGTTTTTTCTCTTGCCATGCCACATAGAAGCTGGTGGATAAAGAATAATGAAGCTTTTTCTGGTATTAATATTATCATGAGGATTTCACCTTGTGGAATTTTATCTTCTTTCTCCTTCAGATTTAGCTGTAATTACCCTACATATAGCACATTCTTCCTTTTTTTTGGGGGGGGGGAGTTAAAGTTATTTTAACTAAATCACATGGCTTCATCTTGCTGCTCATGGGACCTTATTTTTCAATTACTTATTAGTAAAGTAAAACTTCAGTTTTTAAAAAGTAGTTATTTAACTCCAGTTAAATCTCTGATGTACCTTACAATTCTGAATTCTATTACTCCAAATACTATAAAATTTTACTTAAAATCACAGTAATATTTAAAGACTTTTCAATAAATGCTGATGAACTATAATGATGTGTGGCTACTTTAAATAAGAATGTAACAAATAGTATTTCATTAAAATATGTAGCAATACAGTAGTTCAGTAAAATGTTTATAATGTTGAAAAGCTCTTTAAAAATACAAACGAAGGAACCATACCTGGCTGCTCTGTGACATCCACTTTTGCAATATTAACCTCAAGATCTTCCCCCCACTCAGCAAAATCTTCCCACTCTGGTTGAAGGTTCTGACAAGCAGGACACCATGGAGCATAACTAGGAAAAAGAAGTAAGTAAAAGACTAAAGATACAGATGGCCAAGAAAAAAGAAAACAATTTTGTTTTAATTGGCATTAATATTGATTCAGGAAATGTTATTTAGCTTTTATGTGGCTATTAGGTATTAAACAAAAATCTGATTCACAGCAATAATTTTCCATTTCTGCTCTAAAAGATACACAATCCAATTTACTAAGAAAATAATGAAAATCTTGCTAATTCCTTCAAAACTTCCAGATTTTAAAACCCTACAATCTAAGTTTTTAATATCTATAATAACCACTCCGAGGAAAATTCAACTTAAGATCTGTAATATATAAATAAACTCCCCTAACAAAATTCATGACATAAATAGTTAACTTAACAAATATAAATTATAGTGTACAAATCCAAATCTGTAAAGAATATTAAGATATCTATGGGCTGTTCATGATAACAGGTTTTTTTTTAACTTAATTAGAAAATAAATGAAACACGACAAAATGTTAGCTAATAACAATGCTTTTTTAAAAAGTTATCTATCACAACCAAGTCAGGTTTATACCAGGTTCAACAACTAGGAACTATGAAGCAAACAGAAAAATAAAGGGGAAAAGCATCAACAGATGCATAAAAAAAACCAAACCTTTTACAGAAGAAGTCATCATCTATTCATCGCAACTTTTTTTAATCACTAAAAAGAATAGGAAGAAGGAATTTTCTTCTTAACATGGGACCTTCAATATTTCTCAAAACAACATCTCAAAACACAAATCTTCCTTAAACCAAAAACTACGGAATGTGAAAAGAGATACTTGGAAGAGTTCAAAATGGTCTGAACCATTCTAGAAAGCAATTTGGAATTATGCTAAAAAGTTACTAAATATAGTATTCTCTTTATATACCATTGCTAGGCCTATACCTTAAGAAGATCAAAGAAAGGGGAAAAGGTACTACATATATATAAATGTTTGTAGCAAATACTTTTATGGTGGCAAAAAAAAATTGGAAACTAAATAGGGGAGGAAGATCCAAGATGTAAAGGCAGGGACTTGCCTGAGCTCTCCCCAAAATCCCTACAAATACCTTATAAGATGACTCTAAACAAATTCTAGAGTAGCAGAACCCACAAAAAGACAGAGTGAAACGAATTTCCAGGCCAAGACAAGTTGGAAGATCAGCAAGAAAGGATGGCTGCAGCAAGGTGAGAGCAGCACAAAGTCTAGAGCAGGTCACATCAATACAAACTGGGCCCCAGCAAACCCAGAGCAGGCTTCAGAGCAAATGAATCTCTGGCAGCAGTGGCGGTTTCCAGACCTTTTAGCACACAGACGTCAAAGACAACTTAGAAGGCCAGTAGGAAAGATCTGTCACATCTGCATGACAGCATAACCCTGGCCTCAGCAAACCAGGAGCAGGCCTTAGGAGTAACTGAATTGGCAGCGGTAGCAGATACTTTAGGAGCTCTTAGCCCATAGAGGGTAAGGGGGTCTAACAACTGGTCAGAAGGAGATTACAGGGGTTTTATTTGCTAGAATGAAGACAGGACTCTATTGCTTTGCCCATACTTGGATTCGGGTCACATTCCTGGGTGGCAGTCTCAGGGTAAGGAGTAGCAATAGTATAGCAGAGCCCGGGGCAACCGTGGAAGGGGAAACCTCCTCACAATCCCAGGGTAGAAAGAGTGTTTATGGCCATTCACAGAATACAGCACAGGCCAGGAGAGTAGTAAACACACCTCTCCTTAGACCATACCACCTTGGGAGAACTGAAAACTTATAGGTCCCTAGAATTAGTTCTGAAAACAGCTGCACAAAACTTCTGAAGCTTGTGTGCCCTCCACCCTGGAAGCAGAACCCTACTTTAATAAAGACTTAAAAGTCAAATAATAGGAATATGAGCAAACAATAGAAAAAAAATCTGAGTATAGAAAGTTACTATGGTGACAAGGAAGATCAAAACATGCACTCAGAAGACAATAAAGTCCAAAGCCTCCAAGAAAAATATGAATTGTTCTCAGGTCATGGAAGAGTTCAAAAAGGATTTTGAAAATCAAGTAAGAGAGAAAAACTGGGAAGACAAATTTGACTGATGCAAGAAAATCATGAGAAAAGAGTCATCAGTTTGGTAAAGGAAACAAAAAATAATGAAGAGTAGGCCAAAAAGAGGTACAAAAATCCAATGAGGAAAACAATGCTTTGAAAAGCAGAACTGACCAAATGGAAAAAGATATACAAAAATTCACTGAAGAGAAAAACTCCTCAAAAAGTAGAATTGGCCAAATGGAAAAGGAGGTACAAAAGCTCACTAAAGAAAATAATTCCTTAAAAGTTAGAATTGGGCAAGGGGAAGCTAACGACTTTATGAAAAATCAAGAAACAATAAAATAAAACCAAAGAATGAAAAAATATAAGACAATGTGAAATATCTCACTGGAAAAATAACTGACTGGAAAATAGATCCGGCAGACATAATTTAAAAATTATTGGACTACCTGAAAGCCATGATCAAAAAAAGAGCCTACATATCATCTTTCAAAAAACTGTCACAAGGAAAACTGCTCTAGAACCAGAGGATAAAATAAAAATTGAAAGAATCCACCAATCACCTACTGAAAGAGATCTCAAAATAAAAACTCCCAGGAATATTATAGACAAACTCCAGAGTTCCCAGATCAAGGAGAAAATATTACAGGCAGCCAGAAAGAAACAATTCAAGTATTGTGAAAACACAATCAGGACAACACAAGACTTAGCAGCTTCTACATTAAAGGACCAGAGGGCTTGGAATATTATGTTCCAGAGGGTTTCAAAGGAGCTAGGATTGCCAAGAATTGCCTACCCAGCAAAACTGAGTATAATCGTTCAGGGGGAAAAAATGGACATTCAATGAGATAAAAGACTTTCAAGCATTCTTGATGAAAAGATCAGAGCTGAAAAGAAAATTTGACTTTCAAATACTAGACTCAAGAAAAACATAAAAAAGTAAACAGGAAAGGGAAATCATAAAGGACTTAGTAAGTTTAAACTAAAGAGATGCCCATAAATTGACAACTGGCTTTAACAAACGGTTGTTTATAAATGTAATGGCATATCATGGTACTGTAAGAGAAGAGAAAAAGATGATTTCAAAGGGACATCTCAAGACTTATATGAACTGATACACAGTAACCGCCAAGATCTTGGATCACTATGACCACCTGATGCCTGTGTTAATATGCTACTGAATAAAACTGGAGAAAATGATAAAATTGTGCTGACTGTATCTACTACAAGTTCACGTTAAATATTATATGATATTTTATTACACTAAATATCACTTCAACTGGGAGGGACCTCACAAAGCAATTCCTTTACATGTCCCTAATTAACTTCCCAGCCCCACTGCTCTTCTAATAAACCTTTTCAATCCTTCAGCAAACCTGTCTGGCTCTCACTTCCTTCACCCTCTCGGCTAAGAATCTTGCCTAGTATTTGACTGAAAATAATCGAGGCTATTCACTGAGAGCTCTCTCTTCACAAGCCTCTCTACATGTACAAGTGAACCCATTCCTTTCTATCTTCTCTAAAAGACTGCCCCTTGGCTACTACTCTGTGACTTAACTTAAATTTCTCTTTACTGACTGCTTCCCTGCTGCCTACAAACATATCCATGTCTTCTCTATCCTCAAAAAAAATCTCCACCTGACTCCTCTATCCCCATTAATTAAAACCCCATTTTTTTAAACACTGGAAGGACCAAGCATATCAACTGACAGGCTGCCCTCTGACCTAATCATTCAAGTGAAACTGCTCTCTCTAAAGTTACCTATCAACTGCCAAATCTAATACTCATTTTCTCAATCCAAATGTCTTTTTAACCTCTCTGCAGTCTTCTATGCTGTCAATCACTCTCTTCTTGATATTCTCTTTTCTTTACATATTTTTGACACTATTCTATCCACATTCTCCTCCCAATCTGACCATGCCTCAGTTTCTTTTGTTGGAACTTCAATCGGAGTGCCCCCACTGACCATAAGTGGCCCCTAGCGCTCTGTTCTGAGCCATCTTCTCTTCTTCCTCTACACTATTTCACTGGATGATTTCATCTGCGTCCATGGTTTCAACCCTCACCTTTATGCTGATGATTGATTCTCAGTTATAAGAACTAAAAATCAATACAGTGACCATTAGTGATTTCAGAGGTAAAAAATTTAGGACACAGAATGAGACAGGTATTTTTGTGTAGAGTTTTGAAGGAATTTATTTGACTATGCATATTTGTTACAAGACATTTTTCCTTTTTTTCCTCCCTATGGTATATGGGGTAGAAGGCAGGAAAAATAAATTTTTGTTAATGTAAAAAAAGAGGAGTACTACAAATGTGAAATGTTCCATGGACTTTTAGATAAAGCTACTGTATTATTAGTTTTACCTTGTTACAAGGTACTTTTCACAAAATAAGATTCATCTACATTGTCTGTAAAGTTAAAAAATGTCTTTAAAGTAAATGTCTATAAAGTAAAAAGAAAAATCAATGAAAGCTTTTTTTTTTGGGGGGGGTGCTTGCTTGTTTTTTAAAGCTCCTGATCAAGGAATGAGTACAGAAATAAAAAGGAGCTGTGTGGCTGTGACCCTTGAAGCTAAGTGAGGGCCTCAGTTCTAGCCCGTCCAATTTAAAGCTGGCAGAATAATAATCAGGGCAGAAATTACAGTGTGAAGGTGAGCCTGAAATTCTGTCTATTTGAACCCACAGAGCTTTCAAGTTAGCTGATACTGGGCCGAGTCCAGTAGCAGAGTATTATAACATCAAAGAGGGGCAAATACACAGGTCAGAATGGAGTTCTGAAGCAAAACTCAGTCTTCACCATAGATATACTTTGGGAGAATTAAAAGCTTACAGATTTCCAGCCTGAGTTGTTCCAGAGATCATAGAATAGGGGGAGTTACGCTTTCTAGAAGCCAATTTGGCAGAGTAAGAAGTAAGTCACTCTTACCTTCCCTTATAAACCTCTGAAAGCCCAGAAAATATCAACCCAG